GTCCTTTGATCTCTCTTCAACTTTTTCTTCAGTGTTTTCAATATTATATTCCCATCAAGCAATAACTTTACAATATCTTGTTTCCCTTCGAGAGTATATCTTTCTTATGACTCAATAATAGTTTCAGATATATAAAATATCTGAAACTATTATTGTTATCAAAAATATAAAAAGTTCATAATAAAGGGTGTTCCAATAACTTGGACTGATTTTAAATGTGAATTAAGTTTAAGCGTCTAATGATTTTTTTTCTTTTTCTTTCAGATTTAACAACTTAAGTCTTTGGCAATTTCAACCATGGAAAGATTAACAATCAAACAACATGCTACAGTTATCGAAGCCTATTACAAAAATGGATGTTCAAATAGAAATGCATTTCATGCACTTTACAATTTTTTTTGGTTAACATAATCAACCAACCAAGAGTACAATTGGAAATGATGTAACATTGTTGTGGAGAGGTTCAATTCTTGTGTGTGATGATGAATAGAGGTGTCCAGATTTTTGCCCACATAATTGTGCACTGCAGTAATGTTTTCAGCTGAACGACATAAACGAGCATGCAATGGTGTTTTCACATCTGCCACCGACCCAGTTTGTTTGAATTTACGAACAATTTTTCCAATTGCATTCTTGAAACTTGAACACATTGTTTGATTGTTAATCTTTCCATTGTTGAAGTTGCCAAAGATTTAAGTTGTTAAATCTGAAAGAAAAAGAAAAAAATCATTAGACGCTTAAATTTAATTCACATTTAAAATTGTTCCAAGTTATTGAAACACCCTGTACTTGTCAAAGACCTCACTTGTTAGAATCCAGACAAGAATATTGTATTATTAGCAGAATAATTTTTTATAAACACTTATATATGCTAACTATATTTTCAAATATAATCTCTCTCCCTTTTCATATATATATATATATATATATATATATATATATATATATATATATATATTGTATAATATATATAAAACTAAAAAATAAATATGAACAGTATACATATTTGTTGGGTTGGTGAAAAAGGTTGTCTCTCTCTACATAGAAGTAGAAAACTGACAAAATGTGACAGCTATTCATGTACAGACAAGGGGACTGGCATAGAGGAAAGATGCTCACACAAGGACCTGGAACATGCTCCTAGGCCAAAGGACCAGCTCGAGACAAAGGGAATCACAGATCTGTTCTGATGAAATGGATACCTGTTATCTGTGTCAACAACAGACCACTCTGGTAAGTCACATTACACATTCTATCTAGGAGAGGACATATGTCTGTATTAGCTTTTCTAATAATAATAAATATTGTCATCATTATAACTTGCATCTAAGTTTTTCCTTAACTTATACACTCCAACATATTTATTTATACTATTTAGATATTTACAACATGATGAAAATTCAAATTGCATAATAAATGTTTTCTACCACCAAATTATTACAAATATTTTAAATAAAAACAGAAATTTACATGGTATATTTATTTTATAAATATATCCCCAGAACTTTACCAAAATCACTTGGTTAATACCAATTTTATTGTGAAAACATTGACTTGTATAAGATTTAATGTAGGGCAACTGCACAATTTTCTTTCTTTTGTATTCTCATAATAAATCCATTTTTATCTACTTTTTTTTATTATAATATTAGTATATCTCAGAATTTCAGGTAATAAAAAAAAGTTGAAGAATCAAGAAATAAAAATAACAAAGATAAGGATACTAGTTCTAATAATGATATGGTATTGACAATACTTTCTCTCACAACCACCATTCTGGTATGACGATAAACTACATCCATGTCCTGGGTAAGATGATAAACTACGCCTAGCAGCAAGGCCTCTGATCAGGAGGTTTTGAGGAACTTGGAACCACCTCTTAATTGCTGGTGTTCCAGGTCCATTTTGACCCGGGGTGGTAGCACCTGTTAGGGTCCCAGCTATGGGCAAATAGTTAACCCTGAGACTGGGGTAAGAATGGGTTTTAATACCTGGAATACATTGTAAAAAAAAAAATTATTATCAGCAATAAATTTTTGAAGAAAAAACTATTACCAGCAATACATTTTTGAAAGAAAATATTACCAACAATACGTTTTTGAAAAAATATTACCAGCAATACATTTTTGAGGAAAAAAAAATATTACCAGCGATATACTATTGAAGGAAAAAATTATTACCAAAAATAGATTTTTGACGGAACAAAATATTACCAGCAATAAAATCTTTGCCGGCATTAAATAACCCATTGAGGTTGAGATGCCATAAAATACAACAAACCAAACCAAACCTCTCACAACCACAGCTAATACGAAAATGCTGAAGAATACAAAACTTGTAACATTGTGATCAGAATAACAAATATGAGCATATTCACATTACTGAAAATGTATTATAGTACCTAACCTGTTGTACCAAAAAGGTAACGTTAGAGAACACAAACACCTGCATGATTATACTTGTAAGGACTGGGCATTTTTTTGCTCTTGGTCCATATGGATATATCAGAGCATCCTGTGAAACCAACCATGTATGACGAGGGTAGCAGATAGCATTTCGGTTGGGATCAAATTGTAGTAATTGTCCTTTCTTAAAATTATGAGAGATAATTCGTCCTGAGGATTCCAACCTTGCAGCAGCATCTCCCTTATTGCACTAAAGTGGAAGTGTTGATGGATACTTATGAGAGTGGATATGGGCACTGGGTTATTTTTGGCCTTAGCCCATAGATACTCGTATGGACACACCACATTAAATCCACTTTTTGTCACATCCTACCACCAAGGGGTGGTGGGTAAATACTGACTGCCTTTACCCGGCCTTCTGACTGGGATCAAAGTATAGTATTTTTCTATTTCCTCTTCTATTTCCCTGTATTCTGGTGCAGGACACAGACGCCATGTTTTGCTCTTCAAGACGCTCACAGCCTGTGACCAAATGAGTATGACTCTGCAGCAGCAACCCCTTCATTGCACCAACAACAGAGTAATCCAACACCACTGTGAGAATGGTTACAGGAAATGGACAATTTTTCTCCTTGGACCGTATGCATGCATATTGGCACTCCATATGAATACAACTTTGTGTTATAGGATACAAATCCTATATTCCAACAAATGACTAAAAAAAAAACACAAAGTAGATTTGCACACCCGCAAAATCGGATCAAAACGACCAAAAACAGATTTCACAATAAGGTGTGAAATTAATTTTCTGACCAATGAAAGGGGGCGATTTGCTAAACCAAAAAAAAAAAAAAAGATAACGAGCAAGTGTGAAAAAAAAGTCAACAATAAATACAGAGTTTTCAAGTCAGTCAGTCAGTCAGAGAAGGGCGCAAAAGATCACAGAAGATTGACAGTAAATTCCATCACTGACTCAACCCGAAAAGTGGAGTAGGAAGGAACAACAACAACAAATTTACAACTGGCTTCAAAACAATTCATAAGTACATTTTTCTTTCATCTTTATTCCACATTCACACTCTTTTTTCTTTAACTTAAATTGCTCGCCCCTTTTTCATTTTACAACTATACAAAACAAAAGAAACAGACATTATTCTGCTACTCTGTTAAAAGACAGCGAACACAGACATTTTTATCAAAATCACATTTTTGCTTAAACGAACTAAAACATTAATCTTTTTTACCCTATTCACAAGATAATAAATACAATGTTCTATTTTTTATAAACGTTCCTTATCGTGTTGTTTCTTCTTGAAATTTGCGTTGTATTTTGTGGGCAGGGTACCCGTATTAAATTCTCCTTTAATCCGTTTACGCTGAACCCCACAGTGTCACATAGTGAGTGAGGAGAGCATATATGGTTTAGCTCTCAGACTTCAATGTTTTTAGGGACGATGTGAAAAGAGAAAAAAGGACCTGCTGTTGCTTTATAATTCTATTTTATTCTGATGACTGCATGACACCGATTCCACATAGAGGTGCACGTTCTTTTTACTCTCTTCACTGGAGTAATGTTTAATTTTAAACTTTAAAAAAAGGTGTAGTTTGGCAAAATTTTCAACAATATGCCACTCATCATGCAGTGTTGATCTCTATGTCCACACTGTTTACTTTAAAAACGCTCTACCTGCGATATTGAACAGTGAACATTCTTTTTTCAGTCTTTCCCCATAAATAAAATTATGAAATAGTGGCTAATCGAATGGTCTGAAGAAGTTCCCTTTTTTTTGAGGACGATAAAACGTCACTTAGAGAAAAGTAAAACTATATTCGTTCTGTTATTCGATTACCTATGATGACAAAATAATGACAATAGTTCACCCCACAAGTACAAGGAAAATGCAAAATACCGGAGGACATACACTCTGAAAAAAAAAAAAAAAAAAAAAAGAAGTACCTGACCAAAACAAAAGATAAGGTATTCGAAATTAATTTAGCACGTCAAAGGTACAGACAATGTATTAGTGCCGAAGGATACAAGCCAAATTGTACTCTAGTGATAAAAATAAAAGTATGAGGATATTCAAATTATCGATAAATGAATTGTCCACCTGACAAGTAGCAGACAATTCAAATTTCTGTCGAAAGAAAACACAAACTAGAAAAAAATCGCAAAATCGCGCATCGATCAAAACAACAAAGAAGTGAAGGATACTCGTGCAACCAATTTTTAGGACATGATGGCAATAACCGTAACCTATTTGTAAATGTGGCACAATGCGTTGTGAATTGGTTTCAGTATGTTTTGAGCTGTGAGTGCTCGGTTCGATCGGAAAGTCGTTTTTTTTTTATTGTTTAGGAGGATTGTTGTTTTTGTCGTCGACGTTATTTTTGTTGTTGTTGTTGTAAGTGAACACGTGACCCTCGGAGTGAAAACGAGGTTTGCGAGGAGAATCTCGCCCAACGCTCGTCACTTCATCTTCCTCACCAAAAACTGAGTTCGCCACACTTATTTTTTTTTTTTAAATAAAAAAAACCTAAAAAAGAAAAAAAAAAAAAGGACATAAAATAAAAGTATCTCTCCTCATGGAGCGAATGTCCCCTTGTTCGAAGGTAGCTCACGAATTTGAACACAGATCCATAGTACAAGTAAGTGTAACCTTTTCTTTGACCCTAAATAATAAAAGACAATTCTGCACCAACAATTTGATCTTTCTTTTCTTCAAGAACACTATTTTGCCAACGTTTTCTTATCTCGATTTCAATTTTCTTCACAATTTTTTAAATAGATCAGCCATGAAATAATTGCTGATTTGTCTTTAAATTTTAAATGAAGTCTGATGAAAATAACGGTTCTTTATTTTATTTTTTAACGTAAAAATAATTTTTCATGTCAAGTTTTAGGACATATGGACTCGAGGCAAGTTGCGTATTATTCAAAATTTAATTTTTATGGCAGTAATTAGGTTTGAAAACCAACACAAATAAAAAAAACGCAATAATAATAATAATAATTGCAACAATCTGTCTTTTGTCATACAATTAATGTTGTTAAACGTATTTTTTGTCTTATCGTTTGTTTCTTTTCCCATACCATGCGAGTAATAAAACTCCTAATTAGATACCATTTTCTTTTTTCTACCCACTTTACTTAGGAGGTAGGTAGGATCTACTTACTGTTAATGATAAGTTTTATTACGTATCAAAAAAAAAAAAATTCATTTACAATAACTGATTTTTTTTTTTAAATCTATTTTTTTTTTTTTACTTCTGTTTGATAGATGGGAATTAAGAGTTGCTCTTATTTCGGCTGCTTCTCCATTAATGTCGACCGCCGTTTGTAGTATTTTAACTGGAAAAATAAAAAAAATGTTAGAATTCTGTTTAAAATAAATACTCCATTGATCTATATATTTTTTAAATAGTGCCGTATCTGCCAGCAGCCTTTTCTGTTGTTGTCCCGAGTGGCGGGGTCAGAAGAGGAGACAAACCTTTTTAGTTTTTAACTTCATCTCTTTTTCTATTCATTGCGCGTATGAATGAAAGTGGTCATTAAGTGAGGGATTAATATGTGTAATAGGTTAGATTATAAACAGATCCTCCACTTTGTAACCATCTTTGTCACCCTACTTAGCGAAGAAGAGGACTTTATATATAAATTTCTGACATATACATAATCTAGCTAGAGACACGCATACTCAATGAGCTGAAATATTGAAAACTCTTGCTTGACTGATTTGATTTCATTTATTTAAAGTACACGCACACTAAACAAAACAACCCTTTCATCATTTCATTGTTTGAAGTTGTACAGTTGAAGTTTCTCCAAATCTGCTTCATTTTATTTTTGTAAACATGATTCCTAAAAATAGTTACATGATTAATTCATTTTTTTACTTACTACATTAATTCTAATTTTGCGTTTATTAACTTATTTCCAGGGAAGTTAAAATGGGTCTTCTTCATTTTTTATATTTATAAAATTAAAATTATATATTATAAAAAAAATGTTAAAGCAAAACAATCAAAAATTGCATTTTTACCAAACCGGTAAATTGACAGTTGCAGTGCAAATAAATAAATAAATAAAATAAATCTAGCTATGTGTATGTTTTAAATTTTTTTTAATTATCACTGAAACTCACTTGTGAATTTTTTTTTTCTCTAAATTTTACAGAGCTGAAGCTGGAAGCTAACTTGTAAATTTCAGTTTTCATAAATTTATTTTTATTCATTTTTCAAAGAGTAACTATCAAATGTAAATTTTGATTTTTGGGAACTTTAATAATTTGACATAGTAGTTTTATTGGCCTTGACCTTTCAATTTTTAATATGGATAAAAATCGTACTCGTGCACTGATTGGCCATTGTAGTCCACACCCTTTTTAGGATCTTTGTGATTATTTTCAGTATTACTTTTTTATTCAGTTGACCCAATATGTATTTACTATTATTGTCCTTTAGGTAAAATGTCAAAAATTAGTAAGATGTTAGAAGCTTAAATTTTTATCATTAAATCATAAATGGTGTTTTAATTTAAATCATTCTGCATTCCCATTATTGCTAATATTATTTGCCATTTAAAGAAAAGTTCCTTAGTGAAATTGATTTTTTTTTGTTATTTATTTTTCGTGGTTCAACGGGGGAATGTCTTCTAAAATATTTAGTATTTACTTTAGAAATATTTTAGTCTTTATTTTCATTTTTTTTTTTCTGTTAGGGTTGGTTTTTAAATTTCTCTTTCTCGGCATTATTGGGCTACGCACGAGATAACTAGAGAGAGCACCTGGTTCAGGTTATATACAAGGTTGTAATTAATTTTGCTTAAAAACCTTTCTGTGATTAATTTTACTTTGACTGTTCGACACTATTTCCTCTCTTTTTTTAACGAAAATTTATATTGTGAGGTTTTGCCGTTTTAAAGAAATAGAGCAAAAAAAAAAAAAAAATTTTTAAGTTTATTTGGCTTGAGACCAAAAGATTGAAAATTTTCTCTCAAAATTGTTTTTTTTTTTTTTTTTAAACAAAGAGAAAAAAGCTAATAAGTCGGTCGTCAATTACAAGTGCACGCAAAATGAATGAGGCACACAATGAAAGAAAAAAAATACCAATCTTGAGTTGTCTTTAGAATGTAGAGGTTCTGTTAATTTTTTGAATTTATTGAAGTCAAACTGGAATTATCATCTTGTAAACTCGCAGAGAAAAGGAATAATAATGCTGAACAATTATTCATCAGCTTTTACAAATTTTTAATAGAAATTCATTCATTCACACATTATTCGTAAAATAAAAATGAAGAATTTAAGATGCATTAAATTTACCATTGTTGTTGAAATAACATGCAAATTATAAAACATGCACCCCCTCCCCGTTACAATAAAATCTGCAGGCATGTTAGTATCGATCATCTGAAGATCGATAGAACACTTTCCTGATGTTTTTCTCCCACTTGTTAGTCAATTACTGTCTCGTCGTCGGTTTCAGATTCATGAAGTGACTGAGGTCTATTCTTATTCGTGCATTTTTTTCAATCAAGACAAAGTGTGCGGGGGTGCAGTTAATGATTTTTATTTTAATTGGGCCGTATGTGACAATTGGAGTAATTTGGATTTTAATTCTTTATTAAAATATGTCCCGTGCATAAATTTCAAATTCTGTAGAGAGGAGGGGCGGGGAACAGAATTAACTAACAACAGTTTTTTTTTTTGTAACAGTCTGAAAGAAGTATGTCATTGACAGTTTCATAAATCATTTTTTAAATGTTTGAACATTCAATCATTTTGTAGAAAATTATGTGAATTCGGTTAAATTTATTTTTAATTTCTATGAAACAATGTCAATCCTGTGTTTAAAAATAAATCATGACAAAAAAATAAAAAGATATCCTGAGTGGAAAACGAATGTCATGTTGAATCTTATGTGCTGTGTCCCTTTTTAGCCGATTAAAATATTAAAAATTAAAAAATTATTGGCGAATATTTGTTGTGCATTGTTTTGAAATCATTTTTCCTACTTGGATGTTTTATTTACCTGGAAATTTATAAGAATGATATCACCAGTCGCAAAAGTTCAAACGATCAAGGATTTATTGATTTTTTTTTTTTTTTTTTGTGAGTGAATATACGAGGTTCATTGGATGATGTTATTTTTATTCTAAATCTCTTGTGATTTTAATTATTTAAAAAAGTAAATGGAATTTTTATTAAAATATTTGTGCGTTATGGCCTTGAAAATCAACCGCTTCTTATTCTTAGAAAAATAAGACATTTCATAAGCAGTCTTATTTTATGTGTAACGAGTGTATTGATGTTGCTTTTTTATTGTACAAATTAACAATCACTACTCAGTCTTTTTGTGGTGGTACGGGCTACAGCCACTACAAGTATTCGTTGTTACTTTTGTGACTTTGTCCGTTTTACTTTTATCATTCTTTTTTTTTTTTTTTCCTTTCTCTTCGAATTTAATCCTAATCTTTTAGGTACCTCCACTTCGCGGAAAACAGCATAGGATGATGAAAAAAGGCCCGAAACTCAATAAAAACAAAGTTTTATCGTCAAAACAAGAGAAAAGATCAAAGTATTTTTTGATTATTTAAAAAAAAAAAAAAAAAAAATATTAAACCTTTCTAGCACGTTCGAAATTTTGGTTAAAAATCTTGTTTTGTTTTTTACGTCAGCGGTTGACGTAATAATTACGATTAGTTTTTGTTTGCGCTTTTTTTCCCGGTGAAAAACACATTGATTTGGAAATTCTTGCAAAAATCAAATAATTGTCGGATTTTAATGAAACTTTCAAGACATAATCAGAAATTAATTAAATTATTATTTATTTATTTTTTTTTTTTTTTAAATCTTACTAAAAAAAATTTTTTTCTTTTTTTTACCTATGTTAGTTACCACTAACTTTCATGAAATTTCGAGAAATTCAATTTTCAGGGCGGGGATTTTTTTTTTTTTTATTAGTTAAAAAGCATCAATTTTTTTTTTTTTTTTTAAACAGTTTGAGTTAACCCATTCACAGAAAATATGCTCTGAATTGTAAAATAAAAAATCCAATTAAAACTATTTAAATTAGAAAAGTTTTTAATTGCTTTTATAAGCAAGGACACTATTATCTTAAGAAGAAAATTTTTTCGATGAATAATTAATTTTTACAAGAATTGTTGGTAAATGTATATTGTAACACCCGAGCGCTAATATCCCTTCAAATTTTTCCAAAATAGTCTTAATTCCGTGCAAATGTATATGCTTAACTCAAATCAACAATTAGATATTGAAGAAACCTATCTTTTTGGATGTTAACGACCAGAAATAATTGGACTTATTCTCGCTCTTCTTGTCATACTTTACGGCCTTATTGAGAGACATTCACTGCTGAACGATTTCGCGCATTTATACAATTTTGGCTTAATTACTCCCTCAACGAAATTAATACGCGTTTTTTTTTTTTTATTTAATTTAAGTAAAGTTAACTTTTAACTTTCAAGTGTAGATTTTACTTATTTTTTTAAGAAGAAAGTTAACTTTCAAATGAAAATATCGACAAATAAAAGAATAACAAAGTAATTTTCAAATGTATGAAAATAAGTGATAAGTGTACTTTTTAAAGAAGAAAGTTAACTTTCAAATATATGAAAATATCGATGAAAA